AGAGTGGGCCGGGTGTGTCTTTTTGGAGAGAAGAAGTTGCATTTGATACAAAAAACGGGAAACTCAGGTTGATGCTCCTGACCTGACCCTCTTACAATGTTTGTATTTAGCAAAGTGATCAATGAATATGGAATTGTCTAACGATGTTGTAGATAAGGTACGTGCCACAGGACATTTTTATCACCTTGTATATTTTATCTAATTACAAATATGCACAATACAAGAAAATATTAGAGGAAATTGACAAGTATGAAAATGATTTGGAGGTATTTTCTTTTGGCTATGAGAAGCTTGGCTTCACATGCAGGTTATCATTTTTTTCAAATATCTAATTGTTAGCATGGGCTTATTTTCATAACTGTAATGTTCCATATTAATTGTAGCTCCATGGTTGCATGTTGTTACTTTTTATGCTAAATGTAATTTGTTTTGATTTATGACTCTTTCCAGTTCAAATGAGTAATTTTCAATTAAATAAAATTAGTGTTGAAATATTCTTGTGATTGATTTGTGTGGAAATAGTGTAAATGATTTTCCAGATCTTTTATTTTATATGTTTAAAATTTAGGCAGATCAATCTAAGAAAGAAATCAGTTCCTTGATGCTCAATAAAGTGTGGAGCAAATATTTGGTTCTTTGTTGCAAGAAAAAAATTGATAATTTTATTAAAGCCCTTAGAATTAGTCCTTTCTCTATTATTTCACTTTTATATGTTTATTTTATTTATTTATTTATTTATTTGTGAACGTCTTCTCCTTGTTCCCTTTATCATTTCTTTGTATTACATTGCTTAATAGCTATCTTGTTAACTTTAATTTTTAGTAAAAATGTTATTCTCCATTCATGTTTTTTTTTTTTTTAGTCTTAGAAGTTGTTTTATGATAAGTTTATATTGCTCTTTTTTTATATAATCTCATCTGGTTTTCAGTGAGACAAGAATAACTTACAGGGAGTGGGCACTAGGAGCTAGGGTTTTTTATGCATTATTTTAACATTTTGAGATTTTAACCATTAATCTTACTAACTTTTATGCAATCAAAAAAGTCTTATTAACTTCTAGATGTTTTGTTTTCTCTTCAATTTTTGTGATTAGTTTATTGCATTTTCTTTTTCAATCAGTAGCACTGATTGGAAATTTTAACAATTGGAACCCTAATGCAGATATTATGAGCCGGGTATGTTATACTTTCTTATGCAAGAATAAATGCCACGTGTGCATTGAATGTATTTTCCATGTCTGTAAGAATGACCTGCCATTGATGGTTACTTGACATTAAGTGAAGTTCATAATAAATTGAGCAATACTTTTAGTAGGTGCACCTACAAGTGATTTTCTTTGATTGCTTCTGAATCTTCTCCTTCTATACATTACATAAATAATGCAGTCACAAGATGGAGTTGGTGCTATCAAAATATCAGTAACTCTGCACTTTGTTTTTGAGGCATCTTTCTTGCAATTTTATATCTATTGATGAACTACACATCATTTGTGTTGCTTTTAATGAGCTATTGTCTCCCTTGCTTTTCTCTGACTCTGACCAATGTGCTCTACGATGTATGCCTTAAGAAACTGTAGTATTTGCAATACCAACACTTCATAAGTAAAAGCTTATATCTTCTCTAAATGCACATGCTTGAAAGAAGTTAAAAGTTATGTAAGTTTGGTTTGTCAAAACACTTAGCTTAATGTTGAATCTGAATGTAAACATGTGTGTTGATTTACATTGGTAGTGATCTATTGTCTATTTCTATATTTAAATAACATCTAGTGTTTAACACTATAAATATTAATTATTTTTTAACAGAATGAGTTTGGTGTCTGGAGATCTTTTGGCCTAATAATGCTGATGGTTCACCACCAATTCCCCATGGTTCTCAAGTGGAAGGTAAATTACCTATAGATGAATATAAGTTTGGCTCTTGAAAGTTATTGTGCTTACATTCAAATGCTACTTGTTTATTATTTCCTTTTTCCACTTTTTAAGTCAGAATAAAAAGAAACTATGATGAACTTGCAACTCTTTCCTTGTAGATCAACAATGCATTTAACCTTTTGATCATGACCTGTGGACCAGGAACCTTTAAGATGATGCTTTTTTTTTTTATGCTGATCCTATTGCATGTGTATATGGTTTGAATAAATTATTGGTTTGTACTACAACCTTCACAATAATTAATTACTAGAATTCATGACATAAAGGCATTGAAGTATTTAATGGGGTGGTCTCTGAATCAAGCAAAATTATTCAAGGTGGCTGAGTTCAAATCCAACTAACTCTTTCCATAAAAAGAAGGGAGAAAGAAAGAAAAGATGAAGATGAAAAAAAAAAAAACATTTCTCTAGTATTATTAAATAATGAGTATTACTTTAGTTAATGATAATGCAAATGCCAAATAGCTAGTGACTTGGATCTCTGTTAACTGCTTTATGTATAGAAATATCTTAAATAGCAGTTTCAAATCAATAACATGAAAGTTGGTTTGATTGCAGTTTATTATGATTCTTCACCCATTTCTAAAACCCATTAAGAAGCCTAAATTTGCAATTAAACCAAAATTTATCTCTAGTTTTCATTATACTGTCATTCAGAGAAAATTTGTCCCACAAACACCTTCAGTCTTTATCTTCCATGCTACATTTTGATATGGTTAATCCATTTCCTAGTTTTCTTAATATTATCAACTCTAAGATGCAGGAGCCAATAATTAGCACATATGCCAACTTCGGAGATGATGTGCTTCCCCATATTAAAAGACTTGGATATAATGTTGTTCAAATCATGGCTATTCAAGAGCACTTGTATTATGCTAGATTTGGGTATTATCTCCATCAAAATATCTACTCATCTTTATTTGTTGCTGTTTATGTTTGTTAACTTGTATTAAAATGTTATGTTTTGGATGTAAACAGAAATATTTCTTCAGGATTTAGTTTTGGTTATGGAAAGTAACCTCTTCTACTTTTAACAAGTTGCATTTAATATGTTGTAGGTATCATGTGACAAACTTCTTTGCACCAAGCAGCCATTTTGGAACCCTTGATGATCGTAAGTCACTGATAGATAGGGCTCACGAGTTGGGTCTACTTGTTCTTATGGATATTGTGCACAGGTAATAATTGGACTTGCAGGAGTATATCATTTCTAGAATCGCACCCTTCAGCTTTATTAGCTGTTACAGTTTTTGTGCAAACGGTTTTTCCCAGCTTTTTTGTACCAAAAATGAAAATATAAACTCTTTTTCTTCTTCTTTTCCTGCTTAGACTGTATGGTCATTCTTCCAGTAGACTTGATGCAAATATGGCCATGAGAATTTAGGCTGTTATTGGTCCTTACTCTTATTATGTTTTTTCTAGTTGTTTTTGGCTTCCTAAAAGGTTTCTAAAGAACAAACCTAAAAGGGAGAAAGCAAAGTCATAATTGTTTGAAAATATATATAATTAAATGCAATAGAATTTGTAGTATAATTGTTCTATTAAAAGAGGAATCATATTATTTTGTTCTACAAGAGATAATATTTTTTATTTTTAATTCTTTTAAAGTATTATTGTCTTTTCTACCCAAATATACTTTTTGCTTCTGAAAACAAAAAGCTAGTAGCAAAAACAACTATCGAATGGAATCTTATTGTATTGTTTACAATGAAAGTTTTTATCTTTTGCATGTAGTTAATGTTAAATTCTTTTCTAAACTGTAGCAAATTTTTATTCAAGTATTTGTTCTGTTGCTTTGAGTAAGTAATCTTTTGCTATAAGTTCAGTTAATTTTTATTCTTTAGTTAAATTAGGTTATTAATTAATTTTGTCATCCGTCTTTGTATCTGATTGATGTTTGACAAATACAACCATGCATCTAATAATGTGTTAGATGGATTGAACATGTTTGATGGAACCATTGCTCATTACTTCCACTTGGGGTCAAAGGGTCATTACTGGATGTGGGATTCTCGCCTTTTTAATTGTGGAAGCTAGGAAGTATGTATTTCTATTGAAACTTCCCTTAAACAATAGCTTGTTGAAAGATTTTGGCTTCCTTCCATCCTATTGTGTGTAAATATTAATTTTTACTTGTTGCTTTAGGTACAAAGGTTTCATCTTTCAAATGCAAGATGGTGGCTGGAAGAATACAGGTTTGATGGATTCAGATTTGATGTTGTGACTTCAATGATGTACACCTATCATGGGTTGCAGTTAATATCTGAGTGAGTTTGCGGATTTTCTATTCTGCTTGGTGTTATATAATAAGCTACTCGCATGTTTAGATGTTAATTATCAAAGTTTTGAATTTAAGTTGTATAGAGAAGTAGAATTGACGTAACATTTGGTTCTTGTAAGTGGTGAAGCATCATTTCTCTATGTTTGTTTCTTAACTAAATTCTCTTGAGGACTAAAGGTTTTTAGTGTTATTGCATCTTTATAATGCATTATCCCGGCTTAACCTTTGTTTTCTTGAACTTGTTGTAGGTAGCATTTACTAGAAACTACAATGAATACTTCAAAAATGCAACTTATGTAGATGTTGTTGTCTATCTGATGCTGGTTAATCATATGATTCATGGGCTATATCCTGAGGCTACACCATTGGTGAAGATGTATGTTCTATAACTCCTTTTTGAGTCACATTGAGCATACTTCTATTATAATCGTTTATCTGTTCCAGAATTATGATGTCTGCTTTAAGTCCCCTGTCTCTTCTACAGCAATATTTGTTGAACTGGGTTTCAATACTTTTTTATGTGATCCATGAGGATGCTAAATGTAGAAATGGTTTTGAAAAAGTTTGTACACATACTTTTATGTGCGAAGCCTACCAAACATTTGTGTATCGTACATGTTTTTCTAATTCTCTGTTGCTTCATCACTTCTCTTCATACATCAATTGAATCCATATGCCATGAATAAGTAGGTTAACCCTGCTAGTAGTTAAGTGTTTTGATATTGTAGAATGAACTAAAGAATTGTTAAAAATGCTTGTTGTAAATTGAACTAATTTTTATTTTAGACCAAGAGTTATGGAAACATAGCAACTAAAGATGCCAACCAAAAACACTTGAAGGGAACAAACAAGCATCTCTAGAAATCTTAAAATATCCTTGCTTTTCACATATTTCATCTTTTGTGCAAATAATTCACCTAAAGAGCTACTAGCACAATAAAAGGTAATTTATGTTTTACCCGTTAGAAATATTAGCATGGTAAGGAACATTTAATTGATAAAATGTTTATATTGGAGTGATTTAGTTGCAGATTTTCATATATTATTTGCAAAAATAACATTCTTTAAGTTTTATTAATATTGAAGAGGAAAAGAAACAATAGTTGAAGGTAGACTTCCACCATCTTAAAATGTCATCTGTCATAATAATCAATTCTCCACTGCTTTTCTTTTTTACTTTGACCCATGTGCTCTAAGAAGTATGCCTTAAGAAACTGTAGTATTTGGAATACCAGCTGTTCACAAGTCAATGCTTATATCTTCTCTAAATGCACATGCTGAAAGAAGTTAAAAGTTATTTAAGTTTGGTTTGTCAAAACACTTAGCTTAATGTTAAATCTGAATGTAAACATGGATCTTTTTATATGTATGTGGGCATGAATATTCTTCTTAATGGACCAAAGATTAGGTGTATAGTCTGATGCAGTTGATGTTCTTTAAAACTCCAAATAGAAAAGTTAAGAAGATAAACGTTGTCAAAGTTTTTATAATTAAGTGCAAAAGCCACCTTGCTTATGTAACAATTAATTGTATGAGCTAATTCATTTATTTAATGCCATGAAGTCTCAAGTATAAAAGGGAAGGTGACTGTGTTCTAAGTGCTTAGAAAGCTGTGTTGGTTTACATTGGTAGTGATCTATTGTCTATTTCTATATTTAAATAACATTTAGTGTTTAATTCTACAAATATTAATTGTTTTTTAACATAATGAGTTTGGTGTCTGGGAGATCTTTTGGCCTAATAATGCTGACGGTTCACCACCAATTTCCCATGGTTCTCAAGTGAAGGTAAATTACCTGTAGATGAACATAAGTTTGGCGCTTGAAACTTATTGTGCTTACATTCAAATGCTACTTGTTTATTATTTCCTTTTTCCACTTTTTAAGTCAGGGTAAAAAGAAGCTATAAAAACTTGCAACTCTTTCCTTGTAGATCAACAAGGTATTTAGCCTTTTGATCGTGATCTGTGGACCATGAAACTTTTAAGTATAAGGGTTTTTTTAACACTAATCCTATTGCATGTGTATATGGTTTGACTAAATCATTGGTTGTACTACAACCTTCAAAATAATTAATTACTAGAATTCATGACATAAAGGCATTGAAGTATTTAGTGGGGTGGTCTCCAAGTCAAGCAAAATTATTCAAGGTAGCTAAGTTCAAATCCAACTAACTCCCGTCCTAAAAGGAAGGGAGAAAGAAAGAAAAGATGAAGATGAAAAGAAAAAACCATTTTTCTGGTGGATTGTTATGATCATGTCAATTATCATTTATCCAAACCTCTTTTTCCATGTGTACATTTTAAGTTTTTGACCATATAATTGTAGATTCGTATGGAAACTCATTTGGGATTAAGGACTCCATTACTGCTTGGATCATGTTCTCTGTTCAATCAACAGGTGGAATCCCATACAACGGAATATACTATGATCCGCCAAAAGAGGTATAGTTGGTGGCTATTTGCTCTTTTGGTTTTGTTGAAAAGATTAGATAACTTATTCTTTTCAAACTATAAGCAGTTGAAATATTTGGAGCTTGGGAAAAATAAAAAATACCAACTAATGTTTATGATAATTTTAAAATCACTGCATGTGTGTGAAGATACATAGACAAAAGCATGCATGCATGCCTACACACAAATATGATTAATTAATTATATAAACAAATAATGAATTTCTTATTCATCTTAGAGTAGGTTGTTTTGATGAACGTCTTCCTTTATAACGTTAATATTAAGATCAATGCCCTTAAAGGTTTTTAAGAAAACAATTTTGATTGGTTCTTTTTCATATGTGAAGTCAGTTTCTAAATTGTGTTCTCGCTTGTTCAAGTTTAATCACTGCACAGCACAGTCAACTTAGTTTAGTCTGTAATATGTGTCTTATCTCAAATTTTTGTACTCTTTAACCTGACTAATAATTTTTATATTGTAATAGGAAAAGTATGTATTCAAACACCGCTAGCTAAAAAGACCAAAATCACTTAAGTCTATGAATCACATGTTGGAGTGAGTAGCATGGTATGCATCTTCCTTTCCCTTGCATTTAGCAAATTGTTATTCAACTCTTCTGTCTCTGCACTGAATTGTATTTCCTTGATTTATTTAATCTTAAAAGAGAAAACCTTAAGTTTGATAAAAAGCTTCATTAAATGCTATCATGTGTGGGATCATGTTTTTTATGCTATTTCTTTCAACCCTTCCTATGAAGTGTTCTTGCAAGGTTTTGAGATTGAAAAGTAAAGCAGGAGGTTTTATAAGACAATACATTTTATAGTAAAACTTATCTTAGTATTTGTATTTAAACTATCAATTTTACCCCCCCCCCCCCCCCCCCCCAAAAAAAAAAAAAAGTAAGATAAAAAGATATTTTGACTTTAAGCTAGCAAAAGCCATGTAGTTGTATATGGCCTACTTTTCGTGTTCTTTGGTTAAAGGAAGTCCTTCCATTTGGATTATACTAAATAATGAGTATTACTTTAGTTAATGATAGTGCAAATGCCAAACAGCTAGTGACTTGGATCTCTATTAACTGCTTTGTGTATAGAAATATCTTAAATAGCAGTTTCAAATCAATAACATAGAAGTTGGTTTGATTGCATTTTACTATGATTCTTCACCCATTTCTAAAACCCATTAAGAAGCCTAAATTTGCAATTATACCGAAATTTATCTCTATTTTTCTTCATATTGTCATTCAAAGAAAATTTGTCCCACAAACACTTTCAGTCATTATCTTCATGGTACACTTTGGTATGGTTAATCCATTTCCTAGTTTTCTTAATATTATCAACTCTGAGATTCAGGAGCCTAGAATTAACACATACGCCAACTTTAGAGATGATGTGCTTCCCCTCATTAAAAGACTTGGATATAATGCTGTTCAAATCATGGCTGTTCAAGAGCACTCATATTATGTTAGATTTGGGTATTATCTCCATCAAAATATCAGCTCATCTTTATTTGTTGCTGTTTATGTTTGTTAACTTGTACTAAAATGTTATGTTTTGGATGTAAACAGAAATATTTCTTCAGAATTTAGTTTTGGTTTAACAAGTTGCATTTAATATGTTACAGGTATCATTTGACAAACTTCTTTGCACCAAGCAGCCATTTTGGAACCTCTGATGATCTTAAGTCACTGATAGATAGGGCTCATAAGATGGGTCTACTTGTTCTTATGGATATTGTGCACAGGTAATAATTAGACTTGCAAGAGAATATCATTTCTAGAAACACATCCTTCAGCTTTATTTGTTGTTACAGTTTTTGTGCAAACGGTTTTTCCCAGCTTTTTCGTACCAAAAATGAAAATATAAACTCTTTTTCTTCTTCTTTTCTTGTTTAGACTGTATGGTCATTCTTCCAGTAGATTTGATGCAAATATGGCCATGAGAATTTAGGCTGTTATGGGTCCTTACTCTTAGTATGTTTTTTCTGGTTGCTTTTGGCTTCCTAAAAGGTTTCTAAAGAACAAACCTAAAAAGGAGAAAGCAAAGTCATAGTTGTTTGAAAATATATATGATTAAATGCAATAGAATTTGTACTATAATTATTCTATTAAAAGAGGAATCATAGTATTTTGTTCTACAAGAGATTATATTTTTTATTTTTAATTCGTTTAAAGTGTTATTGTCTTTTCTACCCAAATGTACTTTCTGCTTCTAGAAACAAAAAGCTAGTAGCAAAAACAACTACCAAATGGAATCTTACTGTATTGTTTACAATGAAAGTTTTTATCTTTTGCATGTTGCTAATGTTAAATTCCTTTCTAAGCTATAGCAAATTTTTATTCAAGTATTTGCTTTGTTGCTTTGAGTAAGTAATCTTTTGCTATAAAGTTTCAGTTAATTTTTATTCTTTAGTTAAATTAAGTTATTAATTAATTTTGTCATCCACCTTTGTATCTGACTGATGTTTGACGGATACAGCCATGCATCTAATAATATGTTAGATGGATTGAACATGTTTGATGGAACCGATGCTCATTACTTCCACTCAGGGTCAAAGGGTCACCGCTGGATGTGGGATTCTCGCCTTTTTAATTATGGAAGCTGGGAAGTATGTACTTCTACTGAAACTTATCTTAAACAATAGCTTGTTGAAAGATTTTGGCTTCCATCCTATTGTGTGTAAATATTAATTTGTACTTGTTGCTTTAGGTACAAAGGTTTCTTCTTTCAAATGCAAGGTGGTGGCTGGAAGAATACAAGTTTGCTAGGTTCAGATTTGATGTTGTGACTTCAATGATGTACACCCATCATGGGTTGCAGGTAATATCTGAGTGAGTTTGCAGATTTTCTATTTTGCTTAGTGTTATATAATAAGTTACTCGCATGTTCAGATGTTAATTATCAAAGTTTTGATTTTATGTTATATAGAGAAGTAGAACTGATGTAACATTTGGTTCTTGTAAGTGGTGAAGCATCATTTCTCTATGTTTGTTTTTTAACTAAATTCTCTTGAGGACTAAAGGTTTTTAGTGTCATTGCATCTTTATAATGTATTATCCCAGCTTAACCTTTGTTTTCTTGAACTTGCTGTGGGTAGCATTTACTGGAAACTACAATGAGTACTTCAGATATACAATTGATGTAGATGCTATTGTCTATCTGATGCTGGTTAATCATATGATTCATGGGCTATATCCTAAGGTTGTCACCATTGGTGAAGATGCATGTTCTATAACTCTTCAGTGAGTCACATTGAGCATCCTTTGACTTATAATCATTTATCTGTTCCAGAATTAAGATGTCCGCTTTAAGTTCCCTATCTCTTCTATAGCAACATTTGTTTCACTGGGTTGCATAAATGGATTGGGGTTTCAATACTTTTTTACGTGATCCATGAGTATGCTAAGTGTAGAAATGGTTTTGAAAAAGTATGCACACATGTACTTGTGTGTGCGTAAGCGTACTAAACATTTGTGTATTGTACATGTTTTTCTAACTCTCTACTGCTTCATCACTTCTCTTCATGCATCAATTGAATCAATATGCCATGAATAAGTAGATTACCCTGCTAGTAGTTAAGTGTTTTGATATTGTAGAATGAACTAAAGAATTGTTAAAAATGCTTGTTGTAAATTGAACTAATTTTTATTGTAGACCAAGAGTTATAGAAACATAGCAACTAAAGATGCCAACCAAAAACACTTGAAGCGAAAAAACAAGAATATCTAGAAATCTTAAAATATCCTTGCTTTTCACATATTTCATCTTTTGTGCAAATAATTCACCTAAAGAGCTACTAGCACAATAAAAGGTAATTTATGTTTTACCCTTTAGAAATATTAGCATAGTAAGGAACATTTCATTGATAAAATGTTTATATTGGAGTGATTTAGTTGCAGATTTTCATATATTATTTGCAAAAATAACATTCTTTAAGTTCTATTAATATTGAAGAGGAAAAGAAACAATAGTTGAAGGTATACTTCCACCATCTTAAATTGTCATCTGTCATAATAATCAATTCTTCCCTGTTTTTCTCTTTGACTGTGTTCTAAGATATATGCCTTAAGAAACTGTAGTATTTGCAATACTAGCTGTTCATAAGTCAATGCTTATATCTTCTCTAAATGCACATGCCGAAAGAAGTTAAAAGTTATTTGAGTTTGGTTTGTCAAAACACTTAGCTTAATGTTAAATCTTAATGTAAACATGGATCCTTTTATATTTATGTGAGCATGAATATTCTTCTTAATGGACCAAAGATTGGGTGTATAATCTGGTGCAGTTGGTATTCTTAAAAGCTCCAAATAGAAAAGTTAAAAAGATAAATGTTGTCAAAGTTTTTATAATTAAGTGCACAAGTCAACTTGCTTATGTAACAATTAATTGTATCAGCTAATTCATATATTTAATGCCATGCAGTCTCAAGTATAAAAGGGAAGATGACTATGTTCTAAGTGCTTAGAAATCTGTGTTGATTTACACTGGCAGTGATCTATTGTTTATTTCTATATTTAAATAACATCTAGTGTTTAATTCTACAAATATTAATTGTTTTTTAACATAATGAGTTTGGTGTCTGGGAGATATTTTGGCTAATAATGCTTATGGTTCACCACCATTTCCCCATGGTTCTCAAGTGAAGGTAAATTACCTGTAGATGAACATAAGTTTGGCTCTTGAAACTTTTATTGTGCTTACATTCAAATGCTACTTGTTTATTATTTTCTTTTTCCACTTTCTAGGTCAGAGTAAAAAGAAACTATTAAAACTTGCAACTCTTTCCTTGTGGATCAACAAGGTATTTAACCTTTTGATCATGATCTGTGGACCAGGAACCTTTTAACTATGATGCTTTTTTTTAGCACTG